TATATATATATATATATATATATATATATATATATATAAGCATATATATATAATATATATATATTTATATATATATATATATATATATATATATATATATATATAGTGGTGTGTGTGTGTGTGATACTATTTGTTGTTGCCACGGTAAAACGGAAGAAAGTTTTATTAAAACATAAGAAAACGTTATGAAGAGACACTGAAAAGAGGAGGATTAATGCCAAAAACCCGTGTGTGAAGAACTGAGGATTTAATTCACACATAAACGACCTGAATTGTATGTCGAGCAGTTTGAACAATAAAAAAGTGACCCAGACTTAGGGGGCTGATTGATATACAGTTGCAAATGCTGGTTGGAAAGCGAGAAAGTAGATTTTGTAAACAACTGAATTTGGAACTAAGTTTTCCTGGACGGAAAATGGTCGAGGTAGCAGACGCAGATAAGACATCGAAGAGGATAGAGGAACCACCCACGCTTACGAGTTTGGTGAGAGGCGATAATGAAAGAGAGGGTGGAGAGATGGAATTCCCCAAATTTATAACGTAAGCCGGAGGGGATTCACCGAAATGCTTCTACCTTGCCATAACCCACCACCATGCCAGTTTCGACGAATGTCCATAAATACGAATGCGTGAAGCGAATTAAGCCGAAGAGAGAAGAGCGGCAGAAGAGACGGAGACGAGACCAGAGACAGGTGAGAGGCCCACGTCATTATCTGCCGACTAAAGTCTCCGATTTCAACCTTGTGCCAAACTTTACTAACTAGGTAAACCAGATTTTGTCAGGTCAACAACGATAATATCACTTCCGTCTTTAGACATAGATTGGGCTGATAATTAATTGCATGCGAACTCTGATATAAACCAATTATTGTACGGAGGACTGATATAAAAACAGTATTTACTTTTGTTCAATTTATTCGAGTGTTTTTTTTTTTGTATGTCATCTCCCTGCTTGAACCAACCCAACACGAAGATACCTGCGACGATTCGATCTTGGCTGCCTTATGATCAAACTTATATCACGACGTGGGATAAGGCTAGCTCTGGATTGAAGAGGTCACTTCAGCGACCAGCTGCGATGCTGGAAGTCTTGGGCGACTAGGGTGTTGTACGATTACATACATATCCCTCACCGCTAGCACGAATGAGTTTCACGCGCAACGCAATGTTCGGGTTCTGAGCTTGGAATGGCCGTTATGTAATTTGAATTTTAAAAAATATATAACTGATTATCGCAATGTTGGCGCAGTTATATATTATAGTGGGATTATAGTTTTTTTTTAATTTTAAAAATATTCGGCAATTGAAATAAATGGGATGTGTATATGTACGTAAGAAAAAAATAATTTTTCAGTTGTGAATAATCATTTTTTTTATTAAAGAGAGATTACGTTTTTATTTTAAAAACAAAAAGAACAAACAGTAATTTAGATTAAAAATGATTAGTAATATACATTAAAAATAAACCGTAATTAATCTGGATCAACGTATAAATAAACCGTAAATTAATCTGGATCAACGTATAAATAAACCGTAAATTAATCTGGATCAACGTATAAATAAACCGTAAATTAATCTGGATCAACGTATAAATAAACCGTAAATTAATCTGGATCAACGTATAAATAAACCGTTAATTAATCTGGATCAACGTATAAATAAACCGTTAATTAATCTGGATCAACGTATAAATAAACCGTAAATTAATCTGGATCAACGTATAAATAAACCGTAAATTAATCTGGATCAACGTATAAATAAACCGTAAATTAATCTGGATCAACGTATAAATAAACCGTAAATTAATCTGGATCAACGTATAAATAAACCGTAAATTAATCTGGATCAACGTATAAATAAACCGTAAATTAATCTGGATCAACGTATAAATAAACCGTAAATTAATCTGGATCAACGTATAAATAAACCGTAAATTAATCTGGATCAACGTATAAATAAACCGTAAATTAATCTGGATCAACGTATAAATAAACCGTAAATTAATCTGGATCAACGTATTTAAACAGATATTCATTTTTATGTCGCCATGTAAACATCAATTCATTACTCTTGTTTAATAAGCTCGGGTTATTTGAATGTTTTAACAATTTTCAACAAGACATAAGTTACATTTATTTCCTTTTCCGCTATAAGATTTAGCTCTTGCTATGATATCCCAGTTAATAAAGTGGAAACTATCAGTATTCTTTAATTACCAGAAATATTTAGAGAGAGAAGTGCTGTTTCTGTATATTATATTACCTAAAGTCATACTATGATGGTAATAACGAAATTTCCAAGGAGTATTCATGGAACCAAAATAAAATTTAACATCGTTTAACATGTATGCTCGCTCGGTATACAATATTATCGGTAATACATTGACAGTTTAAGGGATAGATCATATTTTTTCGGCGGTTGTATTTATTTTTAAAAAGATTTACGTTGTCTTTGTTGGAAATATAGTTGTTTAATATAAAGTTGTTATGATGGGATATGGATTTATCTCTGTTAACACAGCGATAGCTGATGTCAATATTATTTTTGTTAAAAATCTTTTTAGTGTTGGAGCATGGTAAAAGTGCTAATGAATTTTAGGAAAATTCTTCCGATATTAGTTTGAACATTACGGTTAAAAGGTGGATTAAAAAGGTGCTAGCACAGCTATCTACGGTTCCCAAACAGCTCAGTCTATCCAGTTTCACTCACAAGGCTTTGGTGAAACTGTGGTATGGTTTTCAGACACTTCCGAACGGTGCCATGCGCTAGGATCGCCTCTCCAGACCGATAACATCAATAAATGATCTTACTGACAAACCGACTATGGAGAGATCCGAACACCGGTCTCATGGTCAGAAAGCGAACATTCTAAGTTCTTGACCACCCACACACGGCCATATCACGCTGAAATAGTAGTCCTCGTCCGATCACTGAAGTTAAGCAATGCCGAGCCTAGTAAGTACCTAGTGGGTGAGTGCATGGGAAGACCAGTTGTTGTAAGTTTAAATATGCAAGCGGTGTAATGGATAAGGGCCCAGAAAGCCGAATTTGAACTGTAGTCGGGTTCATTACATTTAGTTACCCTTGGGAAAGGTATGAATCCATCTCTTCTTCCACTATCTATGGGTTAAAATAGGAAGATTGGTCAGTGAAAATCATTATTATATCCAATAAATTGTTATTGCAAATATTTACTCGCAAAATAGAATAAAAAATAAAAATAATTCTTCTTACAACCCCAAAATATGTTTCGGCTTCAAATAACCTATAAAAGGTCGATAAACTGTAAAAAAACAAAATCTCTCTCACAGAGTTGCGGGGAGCATTTTAGAGATCTTCGTTGAGGTCGCCAGACTTTTGAAATATACAAAAGAGACAAAAGAACAGATCATATCAGTTACCGTAAGAACATAGCATCAGCTCATCACATCTAACCTTTGAAAAATAGGAGAACAAAAACACAAACGACTCTTGTGCTATCATTATCATAGTTGTGAATAAGTGATTTGAAATTCAGACTACTCTGTACTGCTGGCAAACATTGGAAATGTCTGAATTTCAAATCACTTATTCAAAACTATTATAATTTGATAATAAGAAAGACCGTAATTTGAAATTATTTGATAATAAGAAAGACCGTAATTTGAAATACTTAAATAGACTGGCCCGATCGTTAAAAAAAAAATTTAGGGAAACATTTTTGGGGGAAATAATCTTGGCAGCTTTCTTTCCTTGTTACGGGTGTTAGATATTTCATCTATGTCTTTCTGGTTATTATATAGCTATTGCGAATAGGTACGAGTTAAATAGAGCACCAAAAAAAAACACAATTCCTAAGAACCGTGATCATTCACACCCTGAAAGGACATGGCGCATTTAATATGAACGGCAAGTAATAAAATCATACGTAGCATTATGTAAGGGTCCAAGTATAGATAGAAGCAAATAGATGGATATGTATCTGCAGCTCGTCAGAGAGCTGAAGACATTATAGAACATGGTGACATTTGTGGTCATCATTGTTAGAGTATTGAGAAAAAGACGAACGAGAATTGGGGATCCGAGCAAGAATGGGGATAATCCAGGTAACGGTGTAACTAAAAACGACTGAAGGGACTTGTTACTTGATCTCCAATGCAAACCATCCGTTATTAGTGGTCTGAAAGTTTGGGGACATTTCCCATGCATTCAAAAATAAATCCTTTGCATAATTTAGAATTCCTGAGGTGAGAAATTGTTATTTAATGATCTTTTTTACAGTAATCTTCCAATATGGCAGAGAACAGTGGATAGTTTACTCACAGATGAAGAGGAAAAGTGAGGCAAAAGAGGTATACTTCTATAGAAGGATACTGAGAATTCCATGGACGGAGTATGGGAGCAAATAGGATGTTTTTAAGGAAAATGGCATCATAAGTGATACTTAGAAAGAAATAGATTTGGAAAAACATGAGGAAAGAGGACTTTGGTTTGGTTTGTTTCATGGCCTATCAACTTCAATAGATTATTTAATGCTAGCAAGGTTTTTATTGCTGGTAATATTTTTTTCTAAAAATGTATTGCTGATTTCTATTTTTCCTTTTTTGAAGGAAAAATATTATCAGCAATACATTGCTGGTATTAAAAACCTATTTTTACACTTTCATAGTCTTTTGGGGGATTAACTATTTGCTGGGACTTTAACAGGTATTACTATCCCGGGTCAGGGTGGACCTTGGAACACCAGCAATTAAGAGGTGGTTCTACGCGCCTCAAAATAACCTGATCAGAATCCTTGCTGTTGGATATAGTTTATCGTCTTACCCAGGACGCGGATATAGTTTACCGTCTTACCCAGGACGCGGATATAGTTTATCGTCTTACCCAGGACGCGGATATAGTTTATCGTCTTACCCAGGACGCGGATATAGTTTATCGTCTTACCCAGGACGCGGATGGAGTTTATCGTCTTACCCAGGACGCGGATGGAGTTTATCGTCTTACCCAGGACGCAAGAGGACTTAGTGAATTTGACATTCACAGGGCATACCGAAGGTAAGAAGGGCAGAAAAAAAAAAACGAGAGTAACATGCCTACCTAAAAAGCTTGTGTAAATGCATGACAGAACAGAGTGTAGGAGTAAAGAGACAAACATTGATAAGAACTACAAAAAGAAAGTTATGGAGAGCCATAATCGCCTACGTCCTTAATGGACAGTCCATATAAAAGAATAAGCATCTTTGTGCGATTGTAATCTTCTCTAGGTGCCTGTCACATCTGGTAACCAGTTTTGAACTAAACATTTTATTTCGTACAGGTCATGTTACTAGATGTGACATATACTTTAGGAGACTAACGACGTCTAAACGGTTTTGCAAACAAACAGACAAACAAACAAAAGGATCATTGTTCAAAAATCAAACATCATTGACTCATGGTGTATTTTATTACTATTAGGATTTGGGTAATAAGTTTTGGGTTTTAGCAATCGCATTGCTATTTTGCCATTCAGCAACGTTTTACAGATCATGACGTTTGACATTTCCCCGAAAAATACAACACAAATGCACTTTTTGGAGTAATTCGGTGAAATACTATGAAAACAACGCCCACCACTCTAATTACTATCAAAACCTGTGCTTTCTATGGGAGAACATCTGAATTTGAGCAGGTTAATATTGCTGGTTAGTATGAACGAATCGAGTTAGAATTTGACGTCAGAATGTTTCAATTAGCAAAAATGAACTTTGAAAACGTATGAATCTAATTCTTTGCTGAAAGATCTTGACAAAATGTCTTGCCACTGTCATGGCATTTTAATTAACGGAGAAGAGAATGGGTGAGTGAGAACCTTTGAAAACAACTCTCCCATAAATATTTTACCTATCCAATCATTACATGAAAAGTAAGAGAAACTATGTGATTTCATGGCTTGAGCTGATAAGAATTACTTGCTGATCTTAAGTGGACATTCTAAGACAACAATCAAGAGTGCTGCTGAGAAAGTTGGTACACTGTATCATGCGAGAAAATTTTTATCGCTAGAATCTATCTTAAATATTTATAGGTCTACCATTCCTTTTTTTAGAATATTGCTGCTATATCTGGTCTGGTGCTATATATTTATAGATTCTTGATGCAAATCCAAAGAAGAATCTGCAATGTTATTGGTCCTGTTGTGCATATATCATAGACTCCCCACGTTGATTTCTACTTATGAGGATCCGACAACCTCATTCAGTTTTTATGATTGTGCCGTATGTGACACTTCAGTCCCGCTAGTGACCTGCATACAAGCCCACATATTGTGTAACAACAAAGATATCAGGACATATTAACAGGGGTATTTGCTGACACTTTCCGTCGCTGTCTTTTGTCTCTTAACCAGTCAATACGACCGATTTCAAAGATTTTTGATACCAGTCTGGCACAAATATCTCCAGTTATTTCTATCCAGAGCAACATCACTCAGTGTTAGCCTGTTCGAATTTAGGACTGGACTGTGTTAAGTTTGCACGTAATATTTTGCGGAGAATATAACAGAAGCCATGGAAGGGGCTATATGGATATCTCTCAAAAGACAATCAGTTCTAAGTGGGAAGTTAGACAGGGATACTCCAGACGAGTCAAGAGTAGAGTTTGAGAATTTACAGGCAAAGCATTCAGCTTTATCAGCAGATGATGATAACACCTCAAATCGATTGAAGTAGGGAGAATAGAGACCTTGCACTTAAAGAGTATCCTATTACAGAGCCGAGAGTAATCACGAGAGCCAAATTTTTTTAGCGGCTATGCGGTGCCTCATTTTCTCAGCAAACAGGGACTTAGCTCCTTCGAAGACTCTCTTGCATTTTTTACGATTAGTAGCAAAATTAGGCCCCTGTTACTGCCGCTATACAGTCTTCTCACTTCCTTCGGTATATTTTATGGAATCTTATTCTCCGCTGGTTCTGTTATCCTGACCTAATTCTTCTACGGACAAATAGTGAACAGTTTTGATCAACATCGTTCACGACAGACAAATGTTATATTTACATTATACCTACTTAACCTACCGACTGCCTGTTACTCTTTCCCTTCTTCAAAACACGTTCATTCAACTGTCACACGCTTTGTTACGACGCAGGATTCCATTAATTCTTCAAAAATACAGTACGCAAGTCGCTTTTTGGATTTTCACCAGAGAACTTCATCCGTCCCACTAAGCTTGCTCATTCTTTCCAGCTTCTATTGTAATAGAAAAAATAGAGTTCACTGACAAATTTGGAGACCAAACATTCGATGTTAAACTGTACTTGCTATAAACAATATTTAGCAACACACATCTTTAGCCTACTAATGTTTTTAAAAATGTTGCGCATGAGAAAGGAAAAACTTGAAAATTAAAGATAATTATACATTTACATTAAAACGCACATAGGCTTACGGCCATATAGCATTGAAAGACCGGTTCCCGTATGATCACCGAAGCAACGCTGAGCCTGGTCAGTACCTAGATGGGTGACCGTTTGGGAATACCAGCTTGGATGTGCAGGTTGTGTAATGGATAATGACTGAATTGTTAATCGGAAATCCGAGTTCCAATTTCAGTTGGGTTCGTTATATTTCTAATACTTTCGCCCAAGCCCCTCAACCTCGGACGTCTTATTCTCTGGGTTGAGGTGTCTACTCGGTCCTAACCGAAGGTCCCCTGAGCATCCGTAGATTATTCGACCAGTCCACTGGTTTAATCCTGCTTCCTGTCTACGTTGTGTTTGGTTTGATCCAGAAAGCAGAACTGATGTTAATCCATTCACGGTAAACTGAAGATGTAGACACGGCTGGAGAGTCTGCGCTAAGAAATTTAGAATGCAGCAAAAAAAAAAAAAAAAGTCTGCAGAAAGCCAGACAAACAACTAGTCAATGATTGAATTGTTAATGTCTTTTATACAGCAAAACTAATGAATCAAATCAAGACGTATATAAATTCGTAAGCAGATAAGCTTTAATATTTCTCTTCTTGCTATGTGAGGATGAGTCAAAGTATTTTCACGTTTTAAGACTAGTCATGTTCTTAAATAATCTCGTCAGTTTGAGACTTTCATACGGATGACATGTATTCAGTAACATCGACTGTATCCCGCCACTTTCTCAGATCGATAGTTAAGTGATTTTGAGCGAGTGAAGACCGTCACTCTTCGAACTTCATGGATTGGCGCTAAATGGTACCAGATAACTGAAACCACATCAATTGAGGACTTTTATCGAGAGCAACAACTAGAATGGATATCACATGTGACTAGAATGAGAATAAGGACATAATCAATAACGTTCCACACTACTTCAAAATATAAGGCAAGGAAGAAAACCGCCATCAAGACTGAAAAGAGCGATAACAGCTACTGGTTTTGAAAAACTTATTTTCTTGAAAAATTGTTTTAATAAAAAGATTTTATAGATTTCAACTGACAGTAGCACTGGCTGAATGTCGAATGATTCCTTATAAGGAAACGGTTAGTATTACAATTACCATTACAGACCGTTTACTACAAACCTAAAGATTAATATTATAACTATGTAGATCACTTGCAATTAATATTCAATTGTTTCTTTTTTTTTTTCAGATGTTATAAGCGCGGATACAAGTATTGAGATTAGAGTAATTTTGAAACATTATTTTAAAACTGAGGCTGAATACCTCTGAAGTTGATCGCAGAATTCAGGAAGTAGAAAGAAATAAACCAGTATACGAGTGTACTGTCCAAAATTGGTTTAAATGTTTTAAAGTTTGGTGATATGTGCCGTGAAATAAAGCTCCAAAGTAGACCGTCCTCACTTGTTGGTTCATCTTTTCTGTGCCATGTCCTTTCTGTACGTGAGCAATCATCCCTCGCCACAATTTTCAGTCTTTTGTTGTTCTAAGTCAATTTGTACACTGTTAAAGAAAGCGTAGCCTGGTCCAGAATGGCAAACTACCAGTCAGAAATCCCCGTGGGCTGGGACTTTTGACAATGATGGATTGACTTTGTGAAAGTTTCAATATAAGAATGATGCGAAGACAGCAAATTTTAAGGGTAAACACCTCTACCTTCCTCTTAGAAACGATGCTACATGTACTGCTCTTATATAATAAAGGCGGGATAAAAAAATGTCTATGATGCAGCGTTGGAGTCTGAAGAATCGAAAGCCAGGGAAGGCACGAAACGCAACAATGCTTTGCACTAGTTTTGCTATCCATTCACACAAATACATTAAGTAGTTATTGCTTGTATCCTCCTTCGTGTTTTCATTGACATACATGCTAAATTCTCCAAGCCTTCTTTCCTTATAAAGAAACCTAATTATTTCGGCAGTTTACAAATATAATTATTAGTTTTTTTTTGTAGGTTTCGGTTTTACTTAAAACTTATCCGTTGCTCACATAGTTCTGTCAATGGTACTAGCAGAATTCTGCGAGAGAACCCCATTTATTTAGCTTCAAAAGAACGAAGACACTAGCACCGGAAAACTAACTCTGGTCCCCCCCCAAAAAGCACACGCAGAACTTAAAAATATACCAAAGATCTCAAGAAACTAAAAACTAAAATTGGTTTGATACGCTTCCAACGTATGTGTTGGAATGATGTACTGAAGTATTTCTGTGAACTAACTTAGTTTTACTGATTGAAATGACTGAAACCACATCACTTGATGACTTTTAACAGCAACAACTAGGATGGATATCACATTTTATTATCCAGGATATGATTCTATGAAAATAACATCAGAAACGAGAATATCAGTATGTTAAGGAATGTTTTATAAATCATCATAAGTTTAACATATGTCGCAGGACTCGAATCCTTTAAACTGTTGACGGACAACAAGCCACTTAACCCATTAATAAACAAAAATGATCTGTACAATGTGTCATTATGATGTAAAAGGCTTCGGATAAGACTAAGATATTACACAGTAGCAAAATGTTCCTGAGAAGCCAGATACACTATCAAGAAGTTCTTTATCTGACACTGATAGCAATATGAGTAAAGTTGTTGGAATATACACAAACTGCATGGCTAGATTCAGATCAGCAACGGATAAGAAATTAAATAAATAAAAATAGCTACTAAACAGGACACCGTATTACAGGAAATAATACATCTCACACTAAATGGAAAGACACAAAAAGTAAGGAGGAGAAATAAGGCCACATTTTCTAAGTCGGAATGAATTGTCAGTCGATGAAAATTTACTTTGATTTCAGGACAGAACTGCCATACCTGAAACACAGACTAGAGATTAAGGACACTTCATAATGGTTACTTGGGGTTAAATAAACATCGAGAGAGCCAAAGAATCGGTGTTAGCCCAGAATCTCCCAGGAGTTGGAGGTGTTATTGGCCTTTGACTGTAACCAGAACAGACTTTTGTAATTATTTTGTAATTTGAAAACGTTTGAAATAAATTAAAAGAAATAAATTACTTTATGAAAAAGGATGTTTATGACAACATCAATAATGTTGATTATAAGGATGATTGTAAGCACTTGCCGTCCCACTAGGGAATGCTGGGAGCAAACAGATCAAGCGAAAATTTGAATAAAATAGTTGCTGAGATTTAGCACGCCTCGTTTTGTCTCAACTTTTCAGCGACCAGTGTCATGCTTATTGTTTCCACCCTAAGCCCAGTGAAACAAGGAGTAATTCTTTCTTTGAAATTCTATATTCTAAATCATATTCTGAAACGACATAAACATTGACAATTGACGTTCTATGCAAACTCTAAACTTGTTTTCTTTTGAGCAGATACAAAACTGACAATGATTGCAATTTACAGTGTTAGGGTCGGTAAAAAACATTTTACTTTCAATTTTATTCTCAAATATTCAGACTTAACAGTTTACTCATCATCCAAATCCCGACCTACTTATGTGCTTATATATATGTCGTTTTACGAATATGGTTGTTGCGTAAAGTCGTTGACATTTTTTTAAAAAACGAAACCGGACACTCAGTTGTTTGTCAATTATCTCTAGAGAGAGAGAAAGCGTTATTAAGGGAAAAAATACAAAGTGGGCTCGCACAATAGAGCCAAGTGGGCATTTATGCCTTTTGAGCGCCATGAATGATTTTCACCTCAGTTATGGAATTGCATTAACGTTATTTATACTTAAGAGGAAGGTCAAAACAAAACTTTCACATTTCTAATTAAAAATAAATTAGGGGTTTAGAAATCACATTTCTAATTAAAAATAAATTAGGGGTTTAGAAATCACATTTCTAATTAAAAATAAATTAGGGTTTAGAAATCACATTTCTAATTAAAAATAAATTAGGGGTTTAGAAATCACATTTCTAATTAAAAATAAATTAGGGGTTTAGAAATCACATTTCTAATTAAAAATAAATTAGGGGTTTAGAAATCACATTTCTAATTAAAAATAAATTAGGGGTTTAGAAATCACATTTCTAATTAAAAATAAATTAGGGGTTTAGAAATCACATTTCTAATTAAAAATAAATTAGCGGTTTAGAAATCACATTTCTAATTAAAAATAAATTAGCGGTTTAGAAATCACATTTCTAATTAAAAATAAATTAGGGGTTTAGAAAAATTTGGCTTTTACAATTCAGTTGGCTAGACGTAACCTAATTAAAAAAAATAGAAAATCACATTTTTTCTCAATTAATTCTCTCTCGTGGAACTCTTTTCTGTTTTCCTTTTTTCCAGCCAACTTTAATCTGTAAAAATTTAAATGCAATTTCAATGGCTGTCTAGTGTCCTCCTGATTACTCCTTCCTCGTCTGGTCCATTATTAATGTTTCTAACTCCTCCACACCTTGAAAGCCATTGTGTGGATTTTTTGCCTTGCATGGTTTGTTACAGATTTTTAAAAAAATTATTGCAACTCAGGTCGATCCAAAAGCGTCACCAATTGTAAAATGCTAAGGGAAATCTTAGAAGTGTGTGTTTTTTTTGTTAAGTTTACTTAGCTTTATGAAGTCAACTATTTTACGTCTACGAATATTCAGAAAATATTTAGAAACTAGAAAGATAAAATCAAAATATCGATGTTGGAACCAGTCAGCGTTCCGACAAGAATAGAGGCACCAGATGAGAATTAGCGACCCGACAAGTCTGGTCCATTAGATGAGAATTAGCGACCCTCCAAGAATAAAGCCATTGTGTGAGAATTTTTGCCCGACAAGAATAGAGGCAGATTTTGAAAAATTATTGCAACCCAGGTCGAATAAAAGCACCAGATGAGAATTAGCGACCTTACAAGAATAGTGTTTTTTTTGTTATGAAAATTAGCTTTATGACAAGAATTTTAGGCACCAATATGAGAAAATTTTAGCGACCCGAAAAGAATAAAATATCGAGATGAGAACCAGTCACCCGACAAGAATAGAGGCACCAGATGAGAATTAGCGACCCGACAAGAATAGAGGCACCAGATGAGAATTAGCGACCCGACAAGAATAGAGGCACCAGATGAGAATTACCGTTCCGACAAGAATAGAGGCACCAGATGAGAATTACCGTTCCGACAAGAATAG